TTACATTTCTAATATTTTTAACAGCCAACATAAACTCTAGTAAAATGACCTAAGGCAAATTTTATTTTTGCATATAGTATTTAAGAAAATATCTTTCAAAAAGACTTAACTTGAGACAACTTAAGCCAAGGTATCACTGTAATTGTTTTATGGCTTCAAAAGGCTGTAGTAAGAATGCATTGCACATGACTTTGTGATTCATTTCATAAACATGATACATATATAGATGTATATTTTAATAGTTATGTTTTCGCCAGTAAATAGAAATAATCAGGTAATTTAAATTAAATGGAATTTCAAATGCATACACTCCTTGTTGAACCCATTATATTTTTGATAAAGAAAAAAGAAAAAAGACAGAGAAACAATTTATCTACCCCCCACCCCCCTAAACTTCCCTTCATCCCACCACCCAACCTCCAAAGGGACTCAATTCAACACAATGCAATTATTAGACATCTGTGCAGATTATGATTTATTTATAGACAAGTTGTGAACATTCTATTTTTAATTTGTTTGACACTGGTCATTGGCTTTTTAGATTCAAATACCCTGAAACTATATGCTAGACAAAATGTTTTACCATCTATGAATGCAATTAGTGACAATTATAGTTAAAGTGATCAACATAAAAGAAAAAAATAATACAGTTAAGGCAGCTAATAGTCCCTGTATAATGCATAAATATTATTTAAATACTTACCCATTGGGTCGGACACAAACATTCTTTTCATAGACTGGTAAACACCGATTTTGATAGTACCATAAGTAGCTTGCCGTAAAACAGCTGGACCAAGGCTGAAGTATTAAAAAATGGTCAATTTTAAAATAAAAAAATACAAAACAAATGACAAGCTTTGCTTCTATCAAAAAAGTTTGTAATATTAACATTAATCTTCACATTATATTGTCATAGAAGTTAGAACAGGAGTATAAAAAAAAAAGTAGGTAATTTTTGTTTCAGTTTGTTATTTAATAGTGCAATAATTCCCTGAAGCCTGTTCAGTGAATAGAGGTGTCAACTCTCCCTAAAACAGTGATCTTTTTAGTGAACCATACAGTGATTAAAGACAATTCATAGATAGCAATGAAGACTGGGAGGAGTGTACTGGAGTAATGGTCAAGATATTACAATGATATGGCATCACACATTGACAATGATTATAAACAAGTGTGACACAGGGAGTTAATAAGAAAAAAAAGAGAAAAAGGGGAAGAAGAAAGAGACTATTAACTAGGTGATAATTGTTGAAATTCTTAGGAAAGTAAATTGAAAAGTTAAGAAAATTAAAAATGAAAGGCATTAAAAATTATTTTTTAAAATAATAAATTGAAATCAAGAACAGTTGTAAGGAGAATCAAACCCCAAATTTAATGAGACAGAATTCAGTAAGATTCTACAAAGTCAAGACTACCAGTCCTTCACCACTTCCTGTTGATAAGAAAGAGACAATGTATCATCAAAGATGTTGGGTTTTGGAAAATAGAAAAATGTCAATAAAGAAAATGGGTGGTCACTGAAATAACATCTAATTTGTTCTGGACAAAGAGCCACGAAAACATCTGGTTTGTGTTGGCCACACAAGAAAAATATCCCCCCAAAAAATAGATTAGTGCCAAAGATTAGGGACAGGTTTGTTTATTTTAATTTTTGTGATGTTCAAAATTTTTATTGTGCACATTATTTTGGATTTATGGAGACAAGCTGATAAAGAAAGATTAATTACTAGCTTGGAGTAACTATATGTAACAGGCTGTGTAGTTTTGTTCACTGAGAAACACATAAAGAGAGAAAGAGAGAAAGATAATTATTTTTTATTATTAAAGATGTTAGGAATATTTTTCTTTCCCACCCATCATGAGTGTAGATGGACAAAACTATTTTGAGATTGCCTTTGGTTATCTTGTAGTCAAGTCCTTGGCTTTGGGAAATCACTTAAAACAACCAGCATGATAAAGATTAATTACTGGATATCCCCTGTTTGCCTATGCTTTCTAGAAGTTTAGATTTGTCATAAGGACAGTTGCAAAAGCCTTGGGAAATGGAGTGAGGTTGAATGCTGAGAAGGTGGAAGAAGGGAGAGATCAGCAACACCCATATAGAGTGATGCTCTGAGATAAAAAGTGAAGGAAGTTGGAGTTAAGGGGATGGCTTGTTTTCTCTGACCACTCTCAAAAGGGGGCTAGACAAACCCTGAATTTGGAAAATTACTTGAGTAAATATATTTCGAAAATATGGGATTTTAGAAAAAGGTTGATGCTAAGGGTGGAAGTCCCCAAGTTTTTGTTTCAGAATCAACCGGCTATTTTCAATCGATATTTAGATATGAATCACTAACTTGGATGTACATAGGACAGTCTAATGCCTTGTCCTCCAGGTTTTCCATGATGCAATCCACCTGTGTCACTGCCAATTGAATTCAAAGTACAAAAGATTTGTTAATACAAAGTAGTGCCCAAAGAAATGATTCTTTGTCAAATTGAATTGCTCCCATGTATAACGTGAACAACAACTAGTACATTAATCCAGGATAGCAGGTAGAACAGCTTTTCTCTTAACATCAGGACATTGATCTCAGCTGTGGTCAAGGGACCCATCCCAAATTAACAACATGCTTACATTGCATCATTTATTGTGGTCATTTTCTTTGTAATAAGTAATGCCTTATAGTTAAAATCTAGTTTGAGCAATCTAATGAAAGAGAAAATCACCTACCTCGAAAAACACTTTAGGTTTTGTGCATGGTCTGAAGGAAAATTTAAAAAAACTGTTAGCAAAAACCTGCTACTTTAAGTATCAGAAGAACTATGCTAATGTTCTTTCCTCCCTGACTGGCATGGCCAATCAGAAAAATTGCTCTGTGAATAAAAGCCGTTGCTTTGATCAAAGTGGGGAGAACGAGTTTTGATCTTAGTGAGCGAAAGTGTGTTTCCTCTGTTGCAAGTGGAAGGTTGGATTTTTTTTACTTTGTTTTTGGTATTAATTTGCCTGTTGGGCTGTTTATGACCACTTTGCCTTTTGGAATTTTTGAACACGGATTGGTGATTGAACATATTTCTTGGCCCATGAATTTGGTTTTACTGACCCCATTGGTTAATACTCTAACAAGCAACAAGAGCCTAGGTGATGAAGAGGCCGCTCTGCAGCCATCTTGTATTGGTTGCACAACTGTTATGACTGGTCTCTCTGCTACAGTCTTGTCTTGAGGCATGAAAGAGCTGCTTCATGTAGTTTGGAAGTTGTTGTAGTAAATCAACGACCCAACTGATAGTAGCAGATAGGAAACGTGCGGAGGGTTACCGACAAAATAGTGTCACATGTCCAACCTTCTCATGAGCCAAAAAAAACCAAAAAAAAACCCAGTGCTCAGAAACAAAAATGCGCCTGCTTTATACAGTCGAGGACTGACCATGATTTGCATGCGAATGACGAGACAATGAGATTTCGCGTTAACTGTCTGAGACCACCTGGCATAAAATATGGGCGCCGCCATTTTGGTTCTTTTTTCCGTTGGGCAACCGGAGTTTACACAACGCACAGATTCGCGGGCATTTCCGAGGTAGGCCATTTTCACAATTTTCCTCACACTGCCCCCTGATCTCATAAATCACAAACACGGCAAGGAGCTGGCGATCGTCACCGTCGAGTCTTCCTCCAAAGGAGGACAACACAAGCTTCATCCTCATGCATGCTCTCGTCTGTGGTTTGACTGTCGGTAAACACTGTGTCCACCGGGAGGCTGTTGATATCGGAATCACTGCCCTGCAGGTCTAACTCCAAGCAGATCGAACGCTCACTACTCTCAGACTCGGAATCGCTTTCATCGCTCAGTAACGGTAGCAGTTGCATCACTGGTTGCAAGTCTTTAATGTGACAAGGCACCCCATCAACTCTCACAGATTGCGGGCTAATCACCTCCGTAACACGTCCAATGCTGTATTTTGTTGTACACTTGCCGCGTGGGTTTTTGACCCAAACATCTCCTTTTTTCGATCTCCCTCCGGTCACTTCTAGTTCAGGCAGCAGGTTGGCTTCAATGCCTTTCACTCGGACATGATACTTGTGCAGTGCATCAGCCGGTGCTGTGGACGGTGAAATGTTATCTTTCGAGGCGACATTATACCAGTAAACTGCCTCCGATACTGTACAGCCCTTCCTGGCTGCGATGGTCTTGACGGTTCTGTGGTTTCACTCTATGATGCCATTTCCACTCTGTGAGTAGGCACATCAAAATCGCAGATGCACATCCAAATTGTTTGCAAATTTTTTAAAGTCTTTACTGGTGAATGCAGTATCGTTGTCGATCAGTATTTCCATGGGTGGGCCTCACTCCAGGAAAACATTCTCCAACAGTCGAATGATGGTGCTCGCATCTTGTTGGCACAGCAACCGCCATACCACAAACCTAGAGGGACCGCAATCAATAAGTGGTAGAAAATTCTTACCATTGTAGTGTGTTATGTCCCGATCAATGTGTCGGAAATACACCAGTGCACAAATGCCGAATCAGTAACCAAGTGCAATGTTGTTGCCTCCCACTGGAGGGCTAGATTGACTCCTTTAAGCGCCGCATCGAGTTCAGCTAAATTAATATGCCTGGCATCATTAGTCGGACGCAGCCAACACGCAACCTCGATGACATTTCCGTTTGCTTCTAATGCCACTCCTGTTGCCACGGAACTCACATCTGCCCAGACTGTGATCTCATCACCACCCATGTACCAGTCTCCTCCAATGGAATCCAGTTCCCATACTCTAGTTGCCAGGCGCTTGACGAATGCAACTGCCACCCTGAGCCATCCACACACGGGGAAATGTCCACACAACAAAAATACGTGCAGACGGGTCAACACATCAGGGACTTCCAGAATCTGACCTCCTCGTTTCCATCGGAGGGTGCCATTCTCTTCCCAGACTTGCAAGCCAAGAACTCTTGCTCCATCTCTCAGTCGCACCGGATCCTTGCACACCAAACCGTAATCTGAAAAGTGTTGTCGTACATGTGATGCAGAGACCAGACTTTCATTAATGAAGATGTCATCAACGTATGCTGATGTGGCACTTTCAATTGTGCGGTCTTGCGATGTGATGGCGTCTATATTTCATAATGAGTGGCGCCACATTTAGCCCAAATCCTAGCCACGTAAGGCAGAAGCGTTGGCCTTTGAAAATAACCGTTTGAAATGGCCACAGTGCTGCGTCGATATGAATCTGAAGATATGCATTTCGCAGATCCAGAAGCAACACATTGACTCCCTGCTGCTGCCACGCTCTCAGCTTCTGTGCACACACTTCTGCATTGGCAGTAAAAACATCCACAAAGTTGTTCAATTCGCGGTAATCGAGTACCGGATGTACCTTCAGTTTCTGCTCTTGCATGACTGCCATCAAGGGAATCAGACCCTTTGGGGGTCCCAGTCTTTCCTGGGGGTACGGAATCAACCAGCCGTTCACAATCCACTGTTGAAGCTCTTTCTTGTATTTTCCTCTGACGCTGTCGGGAACTTTATACTCTGCGACCTTGTTGTGAAGCTGAACTGATGGGTCTTTTTGGGCCCATTTCCACCTGGCGATCCACGCCCTCTAGTCGGAATTGAAGGAGACGTCGAAATTCGGCTCACTAATGCAAAGGGCTGCACACACCTTTCTTCCTTTACCCAGTTCCACATTTTCGGCTGGCATGATTACCATGCCTTCTAACACTTGGATCGCATCGATCCCAAGCAGCAGGTTGTAACCGAGGTGCCTTTGATGTGCCACAAAAATGTTGACCTTGGCAGGATTCCCTCCGTCTGTG